AGACAAAAAAAATGTTCTAGATATTGTAAAAATGTGTTTAAATTATGCTATATTTTTTTTAAAAAAAGAGCAGCTAAAATAAAAAGCATTCCAGTTTCACCCAGAAAAGCAGATTCTTTATGTGTGGATCAAAGCTTTGGAATATTTGGTACATTTGAGTAAAAATAACTTGTTTTTGAGAAAGCTTTCTTTTCCTCAGATTACATCCAGCAGACTAACTTATCAAAGCTCAAACAGGATTTATCTTGTTTTTCTGTTTAGGCTCATAAATTCTCTGTGAGAAATTAATGTCGAATTTATCTTGTACTTTCAGAATTTCTGCAGTCAATTAATGCTTATCGTGTTGTGCTCTTCTTCATCTCTTTTGTTGTCGATGTGCTTTTTTTGGGGGATTTACTGAAAAGACAGCTAATGAGGATGCAAACATAACTGAGGAGGAAACAAGTTGCAATTTCTCTTACAGCAGCAGCCGTTAAAACTTCTTAGTCTCGGTGCGACTAACGAGCTTGCTAGAGTCCAAATTGCTTCTTTACGGAGAAAAAAAAAGGAAAAAAAAGCATCTCCGGGTCAGCGCAAGGGCACCCGAGTGGGCTCATTTTCTCCCCGAATGGCCGAGAAGTTTTTCAAACAATGCCGAGGCTAATTTAAAACAAACACTCGGGAGGCAGGAGAGGCCACCGTTTTCCCTGACGCTGGTGAAATTTCAGCAGCGGAGCCGGGCGAGGGGGCTGAAGCGCAGAGCAGGGTGCAGACAGCTTACCTAACTATGAGAAAAACAACAATGCTCAAAGCGGGTGCATAACAAGGCCTGCAATCAAATGCTACATTTCCTCTCAAAACACTCCAACTCACAGTGCAGATGACAAAAAAAAAAAAAAAAAAAAAAAAAAAAACAGCACGTAAAAGAGAAAAAACGGAGGCATACGGAGAAGGACTGTCATTTGGAGCAGAAAAATGAAAGGCATGATAGGTGGCCGTGTTCCTTTTACCCAAACGATGAGTGATGCTCTTGACTCATCAGCCATGAAAACAACTCATTTCAAGGGTAGTGAAGATGGAGCGGGAGATATAAGGGGAGACTGATGGACAGGGAGGGGAGGGGTGAGAGTTGTCCCTTTATGAGCCCTCAAAAACAGCAGAGGAGTAAGGAGGAGGAGACTCCTGAGGAGGGGAGGAGCCAACTCCAGGCTACAAACACACAAACACAAAGAGCATGACACATTTTCTGTTTGGAGGCACAAACGACTTGATTTGATTCTTGGAAGAAGTCTGTCTTCAGGCTCTTTGATGCTCATATGACTCACAATCAGAGGAAATCCAGAAATTAAAAAAAACAAACAAAATCAAAACAAAAGCAAGGGGGCGATTAAGGCGAAGGTTCAGAAATGTGGTGGTCTTTCAGCGTCAAAAGATGTTCCCCCCATTCTGCCAAAATCTGATTAAATGAAACAAGTGGATTATAAAAATAAAGATGAAATGGTGAACAATGATGATGAGTCCAATTTTGGGGTTTTAATAATACATCAAAGATAAAGCAGACAAAGATGTTTGAGAAATATTGGTTAAAACCACAGTTCCTGTTCTACAACCCAAAAAGTAAAAAAAAAAAACATAAATAAATAAATTTAACATACTGCAGTCAGTGTAAGTAAGTAAGTAAGTAAGTAAGTAAGTAAGTAAGTAAGTAAGTAAGTAAGTAAGTAAGTAAGTAAGTAAGTAAGTAAGTAAGTAAGTAAAAGTTTATTCATATAGCGCCTTTCACAGAAAAGGATTTCACAAGGTGCTGTACATWCATTATCAGAAAGAGAAAGCAAAAATCAAAAGAAAGCAAAAATAACACATTAACTGTACAAAGTATACATTCAATACATTCAATATTTAAAACAAGAACAAAATGAGTTCAATTTATCTCTCACCCTTATAGGTGGAGGGGATGGATACTAGATCTGAATAATACAAATTATTGTTAGTCAGGGCCAGGGATGGGTACCGAATTCGATACGTTTTGATGTACAGACCGAATTCTGTYAGTACTACWGAGTATCTATTCACGTAACATCAAACACTACCATGTTCCGGTACCTAAACGCACCATTGCAAGCGGTTTGGCGTAAGAGTGGTGAGTTCTCCATGCTAGTCATGAACGCAGCATCATGCAAAAGCGTAATGACATCAGCAGCAGCAGCCGCTGGTTCAGACAGTAAACAGGCAGAGCTCGGTCTGAACGTAGCTTGAAAGCCTCGCAGCTCCTGGAGTAAAACTCGCCGAACAGAACGCCTCTGAATTATCTGGTGGATTAATTATCTTGTGAACATGACATTCGTTTGCTCAAAGTAAATAAAGAACTGCCACTTTCTTTATTTTATCCGCCATTAAACAGAGACCGGTGTTAGGTCGAGCCACGTTCCCCCATCAGACGGTTCCCCCAGCGTCTCAAACAACAGAGGAGCTTCCCGACAGTCCGAACACGTAAGACCTAAAGAGCACAAGCAGCTAACTTGGGCGCGTTTTGGATGCTCAAAACGTAGCTTGAATACCTTTTATTTATTTTAACTCCATCCTCTTTGGCTTATTTGATTTAAACTTATTTGCCTTCCATGGACCTCCATCACACAATTTTTCTAGCGGGGAAATGACATCAATAGAAACACATGGAGCTGGATTTTAATTTGTGCAACAAGACAAAACACTGTTAGTTGTTTTCAGTAGTTTGCACTTTAAATAAACAAGTTACACAACGGATGTTACAATACAAAGAGTTGGATGTTGTCTTGATATTTCTTAATTTTATATATTGAGAAATATGTTAAATAAAAAAATTAAAGTTTATTATTGAAAAAACAACACACACAAAGTACCGAATATTGGTACCGTTAAGTACCGTTACCGATTCCCACGTACTGGATATTGGTACCGAATCGATTCAAACGTCAAAGGTACCCATCCCTAGTCAGGGCTTATAAACTCAAGTTGTGAGGTGTTGAATGTATTCAGTTGAATGCTTGAGTGAAGAGGTGTGTTTTTAATTGTTTTTTAAAGGAGTCAGTGTTTTCAACAGATCTTAGCTAGGGCAGAAGGGCGTTCCACAGTCWGGGAGYCRTTGAGGAAAAGGCACAGTCACCACGGGTCTTGAAGCGAGTACGGGGGACCAAGAGAAGATTCTGGTCTTGTGAGCGCAAGTTGCGTTTGGGGTTATAAGGCGAGAGAAGACCAGAGATGTAGTTCGGCGCTTGGCCGTGTAGAGCTCTAAAAGTGAGAATCAGGATTTTGAACTTAAGTCTGAACTGTACAGGTAGCCAGTGGAGGTCTGATAATATGGGGGTGATGTGAGAGAATTTGGATGTTCTAGTTAGAAGTCTAGCAGCAGAGTTTTGAACAAGTTGAAGCCGGTTTAATTGTTTCTGATTTAAGCAGGTGAACAGACTGTTACAGTAGTCAAGACGGGTTGAGATAAATGCATGGATCACCAATGTGATTGGTATCAAAGATTTTGCACCATTTTCTTTTAACARTTAAAGTTTCAAATAGTTTTGTTTGGATGATTTTTCTACATGTACTTAGAAAAGGGTGACTGAAAGTTCTCATTATTTGCAGTTACATTAACACATAAAGGTTAAAAAAAACCTAGAAACAAAAAACAAACAAATATCAAATCTAGTTTCTTATCAAACGCTTCCTCCAGGTGTCATTTTGTAAAGGCTGGAAACRTTAGAATTGGATTTTGGATCAGATTCCAGGACATTGCCATGGATACAGCTCATGCCACACCATGCCATTTGGCACCTGAAACTTTAWAAAAGTTAGTTTTTAAAACATTTTGCATAAAATCCCTCACTATTTCCATGGTTCYACTTGTTCCAGTRTTTCAAGTAGACCCATACAGTTGTATTGTGGGACAGTATGTGCTTTTCAGATGTACTGCCTGCACTGGGGCTGCCAAGTTTTTGCACCCCTCCAAGCTGAAGTTGTTTTATTGCACATGTGCATTCATATGGTTTTGCTGTGTTGATCCATTTTACAGCATTCAATGATAAAATCCAAACCTAATGGCATCAACTGATTGAGGTTTTTAGGACATGGTTGACTRAAAAATATTTGGTTGACATTTATGGATTGGAGGAATGTGGACAGACTGACCAATTAGGACGGAGTAAGACAAGCCTTCATTGGGTATGCATGTTCTTTGAAGGAATTCTCATCATTCGTCATTCTGCACGACACACTTGATTTTTTTAGCTCATTTTAGCCATTTATGTTTTTATTAAGGTCAATTGGCAGTGGGTTAATATATTACATGATCAACCGCCACCATGAAAAATGGGCGATCACAGATCCTGAATTGAACAATTTTTTATACTTCAAGCAGTACTTTTGTAAAATATAACGAATTAGGAAGTAAGAAGGATCTAAAATAATGTRTTGTTTGATTTTCTGCTTCATTTAAAGTTTAGAAAGATAAATTTGCAGTGTTTAAATGCTTAACATACAAACTTTTTGCCCTGATTTGTATATTTTTTGTTTTACTTTCATCCAAAATGTGCTTCTCAGTTGGACCGAAGCATCACGTCTCCCCTCCTGTCACTCTCTCTTTACATTCCTCCCACTCACCATCTCTCATCACAAGTGTCATCAGCACCCGCTCCGGATGAAGCCTGTTAATATGGCAACACTATTGTCTGCCCATTTGTTGCTGCTGTCTCCATTGTTTGCTCTCACACTCGACAAATTCATCAAAAGAAAGGAAAAAAGAAAAGATCGGGGCGGGGTGATGTATTTTTGGAACAATTGCCTGTGTAAGCCAGGCAGGGCAGGTTGTCTTCAAATGAGGCACAAAATAGGAACTTGTTTGTGTAATTTTGCACATGTATCAGTTATTCAGCCAATAACAAGCTGGGATTGGGCCTCTAAATTATAGCCACCATGCGTCCTTGCAAGAGTGGAAATTATATTTAGGAAAAGTCCAAGTAAATAAAGGCTTGTGTTAGCATGCGTGCTCTCACCTTTGCTCTGTGGAGGGTTCTGGCTGCGGTCTCGGAGGATGTTGATCTGGTAGACGGCTCCGTACGGCTCAAACAGCTCCTTTAGCTCTTTCTCTGACCAAGAGCGAGGGATCTGACCCACAAACATCTTGATGGCGTCTGGGTCTGGCTGGTCCGAATGCTCCAGCGCCCCGTTCATCTTACCGGCTGTGCCGTTACTGTTGGAAAAGAGGAAGAACGCCGGGTTAACGGTGCTACACTTAGAAAGAAGCATGTAGTGGGAACACATTTTAAAATGACAAGAAATCAGCATACATTTACCACCTTTCACTTCACTAAAAGACTCCCTACTGAGAAAAAAGCTCCTATTCTGAGACAGAGACCCTATAGAAGCAGTTCTATGTTTAGTAGGTTAAAGGCACTTATAATGGTTTATTTGTACTCTTATTTAAAGATACTTTCCTTAGTTTCTAATAAGACTTGAAGTTAATCTAGTGGTATTAACATGTCCCTTAYGTGCACATGGCCAAACCAAGCAAAAAAGAGAAATCACAGATTTAGCCTTGTTGCTAGGCAGGTTTGGTTTCTGTCTTTCATTCCAGTCAGTCCARTTAATGGGGCTTTCCAATAACTATCAATGTCAGCCGACATTATTTCAGCAGATACTGTAAATTCAAACAGGCCAGGTTATGCAAAAAATTACACCAATTACTAGCTTGCACCTTACAGTAATTTTAAATAATTGCGTAGCGTTAAACCTGAGACATCAGTAAAACCCCTACAGAGTTAAAGTATTTAAAAAATCTGAATCCACAAAAGAACATTTTCCAATTATTGCAACATTCAACAACCACAAGAGTGAAAGTGACAAATAGCTCAAATTAGGACCACAAAATCCACATTTCCCCCAATTTTTCTCATAACACGGCGGCAAAAGCCTCCAAAAATCCTTCRCACCATCACAAGAACACTGAAACTCACAGAGAGCCACACTAATAAAATTCCTAGCAGCTCTTTACTGCCGAGCGATATGGCTTTCAATTCCACTTTTACAGTCTGATATCCCCAAAGCTATATATATATATATATATATATATATATATATATATATAGTATACAGAGATATATATATATGTGTGTGTGTGTGTGTGTGTGTGTGTGTGTGTGTGTGTTTGTGTGTATACATTCAAGGACCTGAGCTGAACTCAGACTGTTTTCCTTTTTTTTGAACAGAACACGTGAAACACAAACTAGCTACTCTGTTTCTTTAGCTCCCCCTCCATATAAGCTGTGGATTTTAGTGAGAAGAAGAGGTACGTTTTGAATGTGTGTGCGGCTGGTGGCCATTGTGCTGCATGAGTAAATGTTAGTGCTCATGAAAGGACGCTGCATGTTAATGTGGCATTTCTTTTTTTTATGTGAAGGATTAGGTTGCAGAACCAGTACAGTAAACCKCCATCTAACAGGACACAGATGCTTAAACACCGATCAGTCTGGTCATATTTCAACATCTGGAACACATACAAAATAGAGGTGAAGTGCTCTCGCCCTTTTCTGCCACGAAGCAACACCACTTATCTTCTCAAAACACACTTGTTGGACTGTGCGTTCGGAATGCTAACTCGGTGGTCTTCTTTTTTGGATGAGTAAAGACGAATAAAGGATTTCAGCAGAGAGGCTTGATGGACGTGAGCAAGGCAAAACGTGACTATGTTTTAAGGACAATCAAATGGCTGCAAGCGCACACAGACACACACAGATGCCATCAAACATGTAGTCTATTTAAAATGGCAAAGAAGCATTTTGATGAAACCAAAGTCAATGGCAATGCTGCTTTATTGCTCTACCTTTTCTTTTGCTTTTCTCTACATTAGGGGACAAATTGCATTATCTTAGGAAACAAACACAAAGACAAATCCCAGGCTTGGTTAGCTGTCAGCACCTAATACCACATTATAAAGCTCAAGAGAAAAAGAGTAAGAGTGAAGGAAGAAAACAGGAAGGAGGGTGGGGGCAGAGATAGATGTAGAGGAAAGACTGCAAGGGAAAGAAAAACATCCAGACCTTTGAACACGAGCCATCCATCTTTTGCAGAAAGAGCCGAGGCGCTCGGCAGAAACGCCCAATTCTTTAAAGGACTTAAAGGACATGTCAAATAAAAAAGCCAGAACTGAGGAAGGAGTCAACGAGCCAAACCCGTGCTAACAGTCCTCAGGACAATAACAGCTCCTCGCTAAGCTGTCCGATAAATCGCTCGGGCCTTGGCGCTGAGGGAGTCCAGAGGGTGGTAGCTGATGGGGAGGAAAGGAAAGAAGGGAGGCAGGGAGGGAAGGGTTAGAGGTGCCGGCTAATTGTTTCTTCCCCTAATGCRGGATGATGGTTAGACACCTAAACAACAAAGACGACAGAGCTGGACGAGCCACRGTGGTCGCTGGGTTCAGACTGCCGCACATCATTCCTTCGCCTTCTGACATGTCCACCCAGCTGATATTTGTGTGGCAAAGAGAGGAGACAAATCCTCATTGTTTGCCATTTGTGTGAGGCTCGTGGAGACTGAGCGAGTTCACGGGGGTAGACGATACAATGGCCAGAGTCAGAGGAGCGCCTTCCTTGTCCGGGACACTGCCCGCCATTCACCCTGCCTGCTAAGACAATGAATAGCTTCACACTGTAAGCCGTAAGGCGTACAAATGCTCACAGAGCTTGACTTGTGTAYATTGCATGCTCTATCATTACCCGAGGTGCTTGGGAGTAGGTGACTCTTCAGACTATGAAGGAATGAACGCCCCTGTGGCCAGGACTGACAAGGTGTTATTGGAGGCACACTGAGCTCCAGTGTGTGCGTGAACATGTTTGTAGAAATGTGTGAAGCTCAGCAGGAGAGTATCCTCGGGCTTGGATTAAGTCGTTGAGTGGATCCACTGCTGCGATGGCCTCTCCATCTCCCTCCCTCTTTCACTCTCGTTCCCCCTTCTTTTCTATCTCTCCCTCTCAATTTGAGCCAATTGTTTGCCTTAATGGCTTAAGTATTGCTTCCATCACTCCAGCCTCCCTGCAGCATCGAGGCCATGACTGAGGGCTGATCTACACTCAAACTGTGGGCACATATATGTGCTCAGCCGCTCTGCAAAGAAAAGTAYCTAGATAGGTCTTTGAAGCAGCTGCTGAAAGCTGTTATTTCTGCATCTTACACTTACATTAGACAGGAGGCTGTTCAAGCTAAAGCTTTGTAGACTAACCATTAAACCTTGAGATATTTCTTTTTATTAACAGTTTCTTAAATAGAAAGCAAGTGAGTGTCATTAATCAGAGCAATCCCAGTTTAGAAAATTATGGATTCCTCTTTGTATGGAGTCAAGCTAACACTMTTGGCTGTTAATCCCAAGATACTTGAACTTTTTTACTTTAAGCAAAGACTTACCCCTGATCCAGAAAGCCTATTCCATATTTGTCCAGCAGGGTAACAGGGCCTTAGACTTCATGATTAAAAAAAAACATTGATCATAGATGTGAGCAGCTGAATAGTTTACTTAAACCATTGCTGGCTTCAGCTTTAGAGGCTGGGTGAGAAGCTCAACGTACAGCCACTACTCGTTTTTCATCATCAAAGTCTGTGCATCTGATCAGGATGTGTCCTGAAGTATTTTCAACTTTCAATTTGGAAGAGATCCCAAAGGCTCCCTGAAGGGATGGTATTGTTGGAAAGAAAGGTGTTTGGATTTCCCTTCTTGGACTGGATAACTCTGTCAATGAACCACTGATAAGGAGACAAATGCTGATTCAATAATTGTTGGTTTGTTAGCTTAACTTATGGATGGACGGACGGATGGATGGATGGATGGATGGATGTCAAACTGAGCCCTATTCCAGATTTGATTTTACTCATATAAAACAACTCAAATCACAAAACTTTCTAACCAGTTGATACTAACCTAGCCTGGCCCTTGCCTTCCTACACAGTTCCACTCAATTCTAGTTTCCCTTCGCTGCTCCGTCTTGGATTTCTCCCATAGATAAGGATTTCTTCGGGAGAATTTTCATCAGGGCCAATCAGAGAACAGAACGTCAATTTTCTGTGCAGTGTCTGCTAGTTAGTTTAGCATAYGGCAGTGGAGGAAGTGAATGAAGCCAGTCTGCGTTGATAAGGCTTCCAAATTAAAATAAATTTGTCTGACAAAGCAGCAGCTCTCATTTACAGTTGTCTCGTTTGGCTCGGTACTTTTCTCCTCTCAGTAGGGTTGTTTAAAGAGCATGCGATTTCTGGTTACCTTCTTAGCTTAGCCTCCTTCACAGTGACATACGTTGCRGCCAACRGATCCAATCATTTTAAACTTCAACAGAGGCCACGCCTCCAGCAAGAATCGCTTCTCTATAGCAGCGAGCCCAGACCCTTGTAGCAAAGTGAAGGACATGGGTCTCATTTTTACCAGTCTAATGCTAACCATATGTTACACTTTACTACTTTGGTATTAAATAGTTACTTGGAATGGGTGGATCTTTCACACAAACTGTGTACTATGTTCCATTACAGTCAGTTTTCAGTGTAAATAACYATTTGATGCACAAATAACAGTGTACACTTTCACAACAGAGCAGGATCAGGATCCTTTCTATTCTATCCTTTCAACAATTTCTATAGACTATGATTTTTAGAGTCTATGACATTTCTATTTTAAAGATTGTGAGAGTCGAGACTGAAACAATTGTAAAGAATTTAGTCTAATGTACAAAATATCCTTAGAAAGACATGTTGTGTGGTCAGTTCACTAAGAATCTAAAGCAAAAACATTTTATAAACTTGCAACAAGTTATGGGTCATGTTGAAGTTAGAACTATTGATTCAAGGGCATGCAGAGGTGGGCCTACCTCATGCTCCAGTTAACTCCAACTACCCACAAACCRGAATGCCAGGATTAGTGATTTTAAAATGTCAGAATGTCTGCTTCTCTGTTTGCCTGAAACGGACTTTACAAGTCACTTGGTGTCTTGTGTCGGCAACTGCATAATGTCAAGAGSCTATAGCTAATAGATGAATGGACCTCGGGTTCCTTCAAAAACCATCTATCATTTATCCACACAGTAACCAGACTCTAAAATTCCTCCCCTGCCAGTGCTRCTAGCTTTATAGAAGACACACTGAGAGGAGTGACTGTTCAGAGAAAGAGAGCAGTACTCATGTACAAAACAAATGTGTCTAGACTGAACAGTAAAACAAGAC